CTCCAGATATCAATTTAAAGGGGAATAAAATAATTGCTGATCTAATATTTTCCCTATAACCACTATTACAAAAACACAAAATAAGTAAAAATAAGTATTTATATTTGTGTACAAGCTGTTTAGATTGTCAGAAAGCCTGTGTTTTTAGGGTTATTAATGAAGTTCATGTACTCAGACCAGTAATATTTGGGGTCACAAGTCTTTGCCATGAATATTTTGAGGGTCAGAAGACAAAAAGTTTGGGAACCACTGCTCTAGCCTATCCATGACAATGGAGAGAGATGGCAATCCAGTGGGTCTCTAGCCTATCCATGCTAGTTGCTAGCCAAGGCTAAAACAAATGAATAGTCTCCTTCTCATTTGCCAGTGCCGGTCTCTCAGTTACCGGTGCCGGCCTATCATTAATCAGGTTAATAGCTGGTTTAGGAATACAGCCTCCTACAAGGATGTAGCAACTGCTGGTTGTGCAATAGTCTTAATTTTGACCCTCATACCACACCATAGAAAAAAGTTTAAAAGATGTTGCAGCCATCTTGAATTTGCTCGACTCCTAAAGTATTTGTTTCATTTCAAACAATCAAATCAAATGTAAAAAGTGTTTTTTAATGAACTACATCAAATGGAGCAGTTTGTTCAGGCATTTTTGATATACACGTCATTCTGAAATGCAGGTACGCACTCAGTGTAAACAAAGCATGCAGCTGCATATTTCACTCAACGAATCTGAGCACAAATACAAACCAATGTGTTTAATTTGTCAGACTTTTTCTTGATTTGCTTTCAGTCACTTCAGCTGTTTTTGTAGGTAAAAATAAACGTGGTTGATCATAGACGTTCGCAAATTTTACTTATGACCCTTTGATTTAAAACCACAAATTGTTGATATGTTTTGTTAACTTTGTTTTATTTTTCTTTATGATCTTGCAATATCTTTAATTAAACATCCAACGGTTACTTTCTGAGTTCATCCGGTCCAAGGTGACTCTTAGTTTTTTGACCAAGTTTTAAAAACAAAATTTTCTTGATCATTTCGTACTCAGAGGCATGCAAAAGTTGTCCTATCCAACCAAGTCTCATGATCACGTATCAGCCCATGTGTTTGATTGTTATTCTGGTTGGTCTGGAAGTTTTTCCTTCATTCATGAAGTCTTACCAAGAGCAATCGTCTTACTGCACTGGCAGATTAAATCACTTCATTTGAGATGATTCAGTCTATAATATTTTTTTAAATCTTACTTTTAGATGGTTAATATTTATAGTGAGTTTATGGTTTACAGTTTACAGTTTTTAGAGTTCAATCTGTCTTTTTGTTTCCTCCCTTGTGCTCCTGCCACGCCCACTCTCACCTGATCCTCTCCCCAGGTGTGTTGCATTTCACCTGCTTCCTGTTTCTGTCTAAAACCCTGGATTCAAATAGGACTAAAACTATGATAGTTGTTACCATTGTTGTAGCTTTGGTGGCCATCTTAAATGGAGTTTACTTCAAAAATGACTTTCTGACAGTTGGGTGAGAAGAAACATCACCAGGCCGTTGAGCTCAAACATTCTTCTTTTTTCTCTTTGAGGAAAGAATTAGAACAGTGTGTGTGTGTGTGTGTGTGTGTGGGTGAGGAGGAGGGGACTGAGACATTGTGGGTATAACTCAGGATGCAGCAACAGCAGCCTTCCTGCCACGGATGGAGTAAAAAGAGAGAAACCCTCCTCCCACCCTGAGCGCCACCTGCATGCAAAGGGAGCAGCTCTGTGTGGAACAAGCTGCTGTCCCTGACTTGACTTTGCGCGGTTGGTTTTCCTCCAAATAATCCCATTTCTAATCCCAAACAAGTCGTCACGGCGGCGGCGTCGATCCAGAGGAGCTCACACAGGTGACGACTGGCTCCCTAACTTCCCTGCACCGTCTGTGATGAGCGCGTTTTCTCTCCGCTCCTCCTCAGACGTGACATTCCGCTGCGCCGCCGCGGATCCATGACGCATCATCTGCGCCTTTTGGGTTTCTCCGTCAGCCGCGAGGAGTGAGCGAGCCGTTTCCCCCCCCCACCCCCTCTTCTTCCCGACAAGTTTCCGTGCTGATCATGTTCCTCGTGACCGCCCGGGTTAACCTGCGTGGCGCCACGGACCAGAAGCCCCGCACCAGGGCAGAAGTTGCCCGGGAATAAGGAGTGCGCAGAGAGCGGGAGAGAGGACCGGGAACAGAAGTGACAGCGGCTGAATTCACTACCAGCATCATCAGCATCATCTGCCTGCGCGAGGAATAAAATAAAAATAAACAAATAAATAAACTGCGGAGGGGGGACTGCTGCTGCTGCCCACTCCTCTCCATCAATCCTCAAACCCGCAGCTGCGTAAACTTGGCCACATTTTTGGTGACTCTGCCCGCTCGTGTGAGCTGAGCAGCCCGGATGGATCTGCAGCTCATGGAGGGAATCTAAAAAAGCCACAACTTAAAGAAAAGAAGAAGAAGAAAGGAGGGATTAGCAGCAGTGCCTGTCCTGTTCTAACCTCAAAATGGATGCCCACGGCAGGCTTTGGGGACGCCACTGGATAAGCCGCTGATCTGTTTGACATCTGAGCGTTTAAAGTTGGGATAATCTGAAGGACTGAAGGTGTGCAGGGATGCAGTCTGGAGCCAAGACGCTCTCGGCAGGTGGAGGTGCGTCACTCTGCTGCCTCCTTCTCCTCTGGCTCATCTACTCGCATCTGCTCAGAGAGGGTAAGGACGCTTCCAGCTATTTATTACTTTGCCAGCAGCAGCAGCATTATTGTCTCTGAGGGTTTATCTGCAGCTGCACAGTGTGGTCACATCCTTTTCATCCACAGGAAAGAAACTTTTTTTTTTATTTCTAACAGATGTAATGTATTCATGCTCATCACTGGTTTATTTATGGTGACCTTGTTGAAACTTTGCAGTTTGATTTGGTGTTATTTTATTATATATTTTTTTTATTATTTTTGGGGGTCAGTGTGCACAAACTGGTGTCTGCTGACATCTAAATGAAGCCCGTGCACATGTTTAAACTTTAATCTGAGCTTTGGAAAGGTGATTAATTGAAAGTTTCCTGAAATAGCTCTTAGCTATTAGAGGCACCCCCCACTAATTTCCCCCCCACACCATCAGGCTCTCTTGCTGCCATGGAGAATAATTCGATGAATCAATAAATGAGCCTCAGGTGAAGAGAGGAGAGGGGGAAAAAAGGCAACAGAGTTTAATAGTTGTAATTCCTGCTGCAGACACAGAGAGGCCTAATCTGTGCTGTTAAACACCTTCAGTCTGAGAGCAGAGAGAGSTTTCTGGATAAGTGTGATGGGATGAATGCTGGGACTTGTTGGAGGATGTTAAACATCAAATCTGCAGATTAGATCTTTTAATCAAACATTGGCCAGCAGCATACTGTAATTACCAGTGTGGAGGAGGGATAGTGTCAGTGTCTTTTGGCAGCTTGCTGGGGGCAAGAAAATAATAAATAAATAAAACAAATCTCCTTCTGAGTTAAAATTTGCTCTATATGTTGGTAATTCTGAGTGTTTTCTCAGCTTCATTGCTTCTCATATATTCAGAGGAAGCACAACACCCCCTCCTTCCCTGAAGACATTTCTTATTGACTGTTTTTTTTTTTTGTCTGAAAATGATCTCATTAGCGCGTTTTTACAAATTGCTCAGTCGATCCCTTGTGAAGTTTCCTAACACTGACACATTCTCAGACTAAATAGGTAGTGAAATATGGGATTGTGTTTCTCAGCTGAGTGTTCAGAGCGAAGTCTTCAAAAATCGGATGTTTCGAAGCTGCTCTGCCCACCACGCATTTACCATTTCATCGTTGCGTGTGCAGGACTCGGTTGTGTGTCTTTATCAGTGAACACAATGATGAATCCCAGCACCCCCCCCCCCCCCCCCTTCGGTTTTCCATGACCCAGAGGTCACGTCCATGTTGGTAAATTGGTGGGCAGAGAAGCTGCGCTGCCTTTGCAATCACCATAACTCGTCTGTCGTGAAGGCAGGACGGAGAATCGAAGCGCAGCAGCTTCTGCCTGTACCTGTTGGGTCGGCGTGAGGGCAAGGTGAACGTCACGTCAGCTGTTTGGTGTAAAACACGAGGAAACGTCTGGATTTTTACTTTTTTAACTGGTGTTCACAGGTGATCTGACAGAGCAGCAGTGATGCCTGAAATATCTGAAGTGATTGAAGCAATGAGAAAGGAGGGAGCTTCAGCTTCAAGTATTCTGCTGCCAGAAATGCATTTTTCATGGTAAAGCAGCAAAGATTAACACAACAGCTTCCGAGCACTAAACTTTGTATTCCTGTTGAAGTTTTTAGAGCGTCTTTTTTTTTTGTTTTTTACAATGTAGGATTAAATAAAGATCTATGGAAACCACTAGAGCAGTGGAGTCCAAAGTCAGTCCTCGAGGGTTGTACCGGTGTCCTGCATGTTTTAGGTGCTGTCCTGGTTCAACACAGCTGAAATGAAGTAATTCTTAATTAGTAGGCCTCTGCAGACCTTGGCCTCCGATGCTCAGTGCATTGGGACCAGAGGTGTCAAAATTATTCACATTCATTACTTAAGTAGAAGTATAGATACTAGGGTTTAAAAATACATTTTTAGAAGTAGAAATATCAACTCAGGCTTTTTTACTCAAGTAAAAGTATAAAAGTACTCATTTTAAAACCACTTAAAGTATAAAAGTAATGAACAATTCAGGATAAAAGCTTAGGCTGTGGTACAGCATAAAGCATACAACCCCCTCCAATTTTTCTAAAGTCAATAATGAGTATAATGTTAAAACTAAATATTAATGTTAAAATTTGAAATTAACTGACTAGACTATGTGTTTCAGCCACATTTATCTTCATTCTAGGTGGCATGCATCTGCTACAGCAGTGTTTCCCAATGTTAGGGTCGGGACCCCATCAAGGTGGGGTCCTGAAAAGATTTTCTGTATTAATTCCGATTTTGCCTTAGTTGTTACAAAGGAATGAGGTTAGTATATTTAAAATGGATAAATGTAGTATRAAAATATTGTTACTATGCCCATGTTTAGTTGACCTGATACAAATGTTTATCATCCAAAAAAAGCTGAGGGCACAGAGAGAGCTCTACACATATGTCATGCAAATAAACATTGATCTTAACACGTACAGCATTGCACAGAAAACACACTACTTGTGCGAGTGATTAAACATGCACAAAAAATACGGAGTTAACTTTCTAAAGCTGCGAGTAGCCGCCATCTTGAAATCGAAACTGGGGGCAGTTTCATTTCTTCCACTTTACGAGTGGAATATTACCACTGGAGGGGGCATTCCAGTTTAAATCTACCAATGGGAAATGGGAAATTACCACTTCCCAGGACTACTGGAAYGCAGCATCWGCACTAGTCACCTAATGCCCAGTTCACACGGCAGGATTATTGTGCCGATTTTTGGCCTTCCAAAAATCTTAAGGATGCTCAGATTATCGTGATGACTCTGAAGATAATCTGAGCAGATCTTCATGCCGTGGGCGGGGAGTTGRGATCTAGTCGGCTYGGAGGAGCATCGGGACCGCTYCGACCTCAACATRTTTTCTCTCCATATCCCAGCCCATGTGGCGTCCACCCGAGAACAAACGAGCTGGCAGCCTGTTGAATGTGATGCATAGCCGATCAAAGCGAGGTAACGTAAACACAGAGGGGAATCCAAAATACAGARGATATAAAATTAACTGTCATAACTCATAGCTTGGAAAACTTCAAAGTGCTTCTTAAGACTCAMTTTTATTCAATGGCATTTAATGAAATTAAGGCCTAACATTGTAATTTCTTTTCTTACTATTGTTGGTTGTAATTTAGTACAAGTAGTTTTACATGTGACTAACCTGTTTGTCTATGTGGAGGCGTGCTTATATAAGGCTGAGTTCACGTGAAACTCATCAGATTGAAGAAGTCTCTTGGAGGAGAGATGAAACGTTTCACTAAAGAAGAACTCATCCAGACGACCTACTTACAGTGGGTAAAATAAGTATTGAACACGTCACCATTTTTCTCAGTAAATATATTACTAGAGGTGCTAATGACATGAAATTTTCACCAGATGTCGGTAACAACATACAAATAAATCAAACCATAAATG